TATAGGCCTTGTGCAGAATAAGAATCATAAATTTCACATTGGGTCAGCTAGGCCAGTCACCTACTGCCAACATTTTGTCTCTGAAAGAAAGGTAGAGTTCTATGAAATTGGCCTATAGGTTAAGGGCTTCAAACACCTCTGAGTTCTTTTTCAGAAGCCACGATAGAGAAATCATCTGACATACATTCGACTACATGGCCCCATAAGTTAGAGTTCCAATGTTTACTCTCCCTTTCCCTAAAGAAGTATCCATTTTTTTCTTTTTCAGTACTGGGAATTGAACTCAGGACCTTGTGCTTGCCAGGCAGGTGCTTATGCTGCTGAGCTATATCCCCAGCCCTCTATTTTCATCTGTATGAAAAAAACCTTTCTTTCAAGCTTCCAGGAGAGTCTTCTTGGGTAGAGGGTGTCGCTCTTTAACCCAAAGTTAGGAATGTGTTAAGTCAGCTTTCCATTACTGTAACAAATACTTGAGCTAAATCAACTTGTAAAGTGGGAAGGTTCATTTTGGCTATAGGATTCATTCCACTGTCACTTTGCCCTGTAACCTTTGGGCTTGTGATGAGAACGTATATCATGGTGGGAGCACATAGCAAAGGAAACTGCTCAGTTCATGGCAGCCAGGACACAAACAGAGAGAGGAAGTGCCTGGGTCTCAGTGTCCCCTTCAAGGGCCCACACCCCCGTGACCTAACTTCCTTCCACTAGGTGCCACCTCTTAAAAGATCCCACCATCTCAGCCGGGCGTGGTGGCGCACACCGATACTCCCAGCACTTGGAAGGCTGAGGCAGGAAGATCACCTTGAGTTTGAGGCCGGCCTGGACTACATAGAGAGTGTAGGGCCAGCCTGAAGTACAAAGCAAGACCCTGTCTCAAAACACAACAACAAAGATTCCACCATTTCCCAACGGCACATCGGATTGGGGACCAAGACTTTAACATGTGGTTCTTCGGGGGACACTTATCCAAACCACAGCAGAGAAGTGAGGGCAGCTGAATAGATTAAATATGCTACATTCAGGAAAACGTACCAGAAAACCTAACTCAGGATCAAGAAAGAGATCCTGGACATACTTTGATTTGAGTTTGCAAAATAGTACCCTCCCCCCAAATGTGATTTTCTGTCTCAATTAGTCTACTATGATAGCCCCCTGCTCCCTCAAGGTGTGAGCCTAATATAAATTATTCACCTCAAATCGAGCCCTTGGGGAAATGTTAGCAAGCAAGTTTAAGAAGCAGCGGAGTATAGAACAGCCTAACCCAGGGATCTCCTGCCATTTCTGTGTCCCGGTCAGCTGTATTCGGCCTGCAGTTCTGTGCCTGCGAAAGCCGAGTACGGCTCCAACGCCCAGGGGCACACTAAACCCGAAAGAGAGAGGGCAGCCATTTGGCTTTCCTTGTTCCAGCAGGGGGCGCTGGAGGTTTAGCCTGGCGTGTCTTCGCCCCTCATGGTCGCAGGGTGTCGCTGTTGACAGATGGTCCTATATGGTCCCTGCAAAGCAGAGGGTTCTGCAGATCCCAGGTTCCGGTTGGCCACTGCGGCTGGGCACTGTGAACCTCTGAGGGAGGACCTCCGCTTCCTTAGGGCTCAGCCCAGCTCCAGTAACTCCTTGTTTGGGTTCCCAAGATTTAGTGTCACCCTGGAAGTGGCTTAGAGCTCAGTACCTTCTTTCTTCTCTGTTTTCTCAGTGTGGGTGATTAGAGGGGGAGCCCAGCGCCTTGCACAGATCGGGCAGCCCTCTACCGCTGAGCTCGGTCTGTAGCGGGCACTCTGGATTAGCCGTCCCGCCTGCATCTGTTCCAGACTCTTCCTGGTCCCTTTCCTTCCCAGGCGTCCACACAGCCAAGGGTCAGCTAGCCCCTCCCGGCCAATTCGCAGAGCCCCGAAGGTCGCATTACATTTCTTCTCCGATACAGCAACATTCCTAAAGGTACTTACTCTCCCTGTCTCCACGCCCAGAAGTTCTTGTTTTATGTTGAGAAAGAGTCTCTCTATGTACCCCAGGCTTGCCTGGAATTCACGATCCTCCTGCCTCAGCCTCCAGAGCGCTGGGATTGCAAGCATGTATCACTATACCTGGATCCTAAAAAGGTGTCGATCATATCCTTTTTCTGTCGGATAGAGCAAGCTTGTCCTTAATCCCGATTTTTTTTGAGACAGGGTCTCATTATACAGTTCAGGCTGGCCTTGAACTCACTTTGTAGCCCAGGCTGG